TGGGGGACGCCTGAGGTAAGAGGGGCTATGGTCGAGGAAGAATCATCAATAATGACAGAAAAGGTTCTGTTGGACAGGAAAGAGCTAAACCAGTTTAGATCCATGCCTCTTAGGCCGACAAGGTGTTCCAATTGGGAGAGCAAAACCGCATGGTTGACGGTGTCAAAGGCTGCTGATAGATCTAGAAGAACTAGAATAACTGGGTGTTTGCAATCAAGGGCCATAGTAATCTCATTATGGACCTTCAGTAATGCAGACTCAGTGCTGTGACGGGGCCTAAAACCTGACTGAAACTTATTAACAAGATCCAGACGATCCAGGTGAGACTGCAACTGGGTAAGGATGAGTTGTATTCTTTTAAAACCGCAACGGTTTCTTGGCAAATAAGACATACAGCCTTTGACTGGACTTCAGTAAAAAAAATATTTAGTTGTCCATTCCTTATTGAGCTCTCAGCACTCACTGTCGACTTTTCTTTTCTTTGGCCCACTCATTGTTGCAGATTGGTTCAGAATAGTAGCAGAGTAATAACTAAGTAGCCCTGGCTCCACAAAATAAAGTCAATGTATCACTGCGCCTAATGCGCCACCTGGTGGAACGCCAGGCATTACAGGACAAGGTCAAATGAATGCAGTCATAATTATGATATGATTTGATTTGGGCAATCCTGTACCAATCTTCGGCGGGCTGGATTAAAAGGACCAACAGGCCCTATGTGGCCCATGGGCCCTAGTTTGCCCACCCCTGGTCTACAGGCATTCACTCCTTCCACTCTTAAAACCTCCCAAAATGAAATACTGTCTACTTGTGTATATGGTTGGTCTTGGACTCACTTTATTAACAGTGTTGGTCTGACCATCATCATGTAAAGTTCATCAAATTATTTTTGCCTAAAATGAGTGCAGGTGACTGACAGTGAGCAGGATTCTCAAAAGCCGTAACTCAAAAGATATTAAAAAGCATAATCTGGAAAACATTTCAAAATACTACTGTGTTACTGTAGTAAAACTACTGTGTAAGGTCTTCACTGGCCCCCATATTTGTGACATATATATATTTTTCTGTCGTACACAGACAGTGCGTTTCTACCTGACAACTAGAAAACACACCTGCTACTCATTTTTCCCTTAAAGTACATGAGACAGACAAGCTTAGCTTCACAATGACATTTTGAAATTCAATGCAAAAACATTTTGATAATGTTATTACAAACAATAAAAAAATGATACTTCGCCTGTTTCATTTTGTTGATATCACTTTTTATTTGATATTGCATTATTCATTCAGGCTTTACTGTGCTAAAATAGGAAATAATGTCTGAATGGGTAGGAGCCCAGATGGACCATGTGGACCTAGTCTGGTCAGGTTCAAGTCCAAATGCACAGCATCTACACACACTCCATGCGTCATGCTTCCCACTAACATAAGAGCCCAACCTCGCTATCAAAGCTAAACTAACATCTGGTTTTACAGAGGTGTGTATGTGATCATATCTAAAACTGCAACTATAATAGGAGAAGCTGCAGATGTGCAACATGTGTTCATGACAATGCACATGTTGCTGTAAGCAGACGCTGGTGTTTTCATCCGCTCATAAACCTACACACACATTCACACCCTTTTCCTCTACCACTTCTCCATGCTCACTTTCATTCAAGACGATGCAACACATTTCCACTCTCTCCCGCCACACAATCCCTCGCTCCCACGCGCCACACAGCTATTTATACCACAGCCAATTATTTCCAGCTCACGTCTTTTGAATCTCAGGGTTGAACCCTGCATTTCTGAGCTAGGGGGTTTATCTGCAATCTTTCCCTCAGCTGCCCCGAGTTAATTCAGATGTGAATATTTCTATTGATCAGCCTTGAAGCGACTCTCTCTTTTTATCTGTCGATGTGTCAGTGAAAAGGAGGATTAAAGAAGAGGCGGAGGAAGTATAGATGAATGAGGACTTGGAGGATAGACAAAGAAAGAAAAGAAGGTGCACACCATGTTTTGCTGCCATTTACACAGTTTCAGGGGTACTGATTCAAGTGTGTGAGCATTCTGGAGGCTGTGGTTTATGCTGCTGTTGAACTGCACTACATTATACAGAGGTGTTTCTGTTATTTAGCCTAGCCTCATTGATAAACATGGAGCGGACTCTAGGTGGTTAATACAACAACTTATAGGTCAGCTCAAATCATTTACACTACAAATCACAATCCTTGCTTTGAAGAGGGCTTATGTTTAAAAGTTTGGATAAAAGAAAAACAATTAACAGATTTTAGAGTGCAGATGCTTTTCTCAGTCTGTAAACTGCCAATAAAACAGCAGCCAATCTGAGTGGATTACTCACAGTGGTGTGCTGATGAGATGTTACAAACATTATGGCAGGGAATGTTTATGGTCCAACAGCCCTTCCACAGTATGTTTCCATTTAAAGAGGCAGAAGGCTTGATATGAGAGTGCAGCACCGCTTCATTTCTAAACTGCTCTCCTCACTCCCCCATCACCCTCCTCACTTTATCATCCCATTCTCGCTCTGTTCTACACATCCTTCACTTGCTCTCCCAGCAGACTGATACTGTCCTCTGTATCAGCAGATGACCTCAGTCACTGATCCATTCACTGCCCGCCTGTTATCCACTGCTAAAAACAGGACATGATCGGAACCGGAACTGGGAGAGAAGGAAAAGCATGGGGAAGAAAAGAAAGACAAATGAAGCCAGACAGAAGCAAAATGAGAACGCTAAAGGGGAAAGGAAGAAACTGGAAAAAGAAAGAACAGGGGAGGGAGAATAGGCTGGCAGCCATATCCAGGCTCTGTCAGATTCTCCAACATTCCTGGCAGATTCCAGTCCACCTCAAACAGAACCACTGAGTCACACCTGAAGAATGCTGTAATGCTTGTGTGCATGTACGTCTGGCATTAACACACAAACTGTGGGGACTCAAACTTTCTTGAGGGGACCATATGCTAGTCTACAATGTTGCAACGATGAATTATCATCTTAGGCGTGACAGAAACCTCAAAAAAGTGAGGTGTACATATGTTCTAGTACTTCTATGCAGAAGCAACTCAGTTTATACACGTCTCTCAAATTCTCGCTTGCTAGACTTTTTTTTTTCTAACAAAATAGTGTTACGTGATAGTTTAAGGATTTCCTTGAATGAGCATATAATCCAGGCCACTGCGCGTTCATGTGAATTTGCCTGACAACCACCAGTGCCATTTTAAAAGTGTAATTTTTTGACTGTGCCTGGTTTTGTGGAAATATTTTACCTCCTGCTGCTGCACTGTGACCAGAGGATGTGGAGAAAAATACAGGGTCTGAGGTTACTGCATGTCTGGGAATGTTCCTGTACAGGGACTTGCGGTTTTATCTGACTGGGTCTAACCTACAAGCAGCCGGCCAGTGAAGCGGTTAGTGATCAGTTAATCAACGCTAAATTCCCCCTGGAGCACAGTACCTGTTTGTTTTAACTGCTTGCGACCAGTGTGTCTGCCACATGTGATGTGTTGCTGGTTAACGACCCATGATGTTATTGTTTGAGCTGCGCTACCTGTTGGAATTAGTTTCACTACTTTGGGGCTGTATGTGGTCATGTGGGGGAAGACACAGTGAGCACTGGTTAGATTTACTGATCTTGGAGCTACTTGAAAGGGAGTGATGTTAAAATCCCACTACTCGGTGGGATTTAACGGTAAGTAAAAAAATAAAAAAAAAACCAAAACACACACATTGCATGTCTGTTAATGCCTTGTTTCTGTAATGTTAGAGACAATTGTTGTAAAGCTGGAACAGTTACTATGTCTGCATTATGCCAGTTAAAATATGGGGTTTTTCAATTACCCACTTTGTTTAGTGTTACAAATCTCTTTTCATCGGTACATATACCTTTGTTTACCTATCTATGAAGGAGAAACTCAAATTAATTAATGCCGTTGCGGTTTGTTGTGGTGTCCACTTTCGTAACAACACCGGCAGCATGAGTTGTGCACGTTCACAAACTATCCTCTCGTTTTTAGAAGAGGCTCTTTGGTTTTATCATTCTGAAATAATTATAGACTATTTGGAGTTATGAGGGGTGCCAAGATAATCTATAGGTACCCAAGATTAAACATTAAATGGCTGGAACCAAGCAAAATGAGCAGCCATGGGGGCTTTAAGATTTGGGTTAGTCGCCAGGAAATTGGTGGAAGTCAATGTACAATAAAGTCCAAAACAAGGAACCGTGTCTACACAAAAGGCATAGTGTGAGCAGCAGCAGCAGCTCCAGTGCTCTGTCTGTCTACCCAGGATTAAGTGTAGGTCACCTGTGTTTAGGAAGCGCTCGGCGCCCAATACACAAAAGGCTTGATATGATACGTGGCTATGTGCATAAAATTTTGGAAAATATACTTGAAGCATAAATATAAGCTTCAGGTTGTAGCGTTTACTGGGCAAAACACGAGCAGTTACAAAACCAGTGTACAGCTGGACCAAAGCAGCTTTTGTTTAGACAAGCTATTACTGTATGTTTGATTACTTTTTCTATATCAGCATGAATGTGTGGCTGATGATGGCGTTCACACAGGTAGGACAGAGCCCAGGGGGTACTGTTCAAGATGCCCACATCAACAAATCACACTTCAAACATAAGAGCACCAAAAAACAGGTGCACACACACACACACAGAGCCAGAGGCAGTCAGTTGAAAGTCTGGTGACAAAGCTCGTTATTTAATAAACAGTACATTTACTATCTGAATGCTTTAGTCAAACGTATACGTTATATAATGCAACTAAACATTATTTTGATTCCCGATTACTTTGCCAATATTTTTTCTGTTAAATGTCTATGCTGACAGATAGATGGTGAAAAAAAATTATAACTGAGGAAAAAAATAAAAATTAAGCAAATGTAGTGTAAATAGGTGAGATGGGGGTGCAACAAAAAATTGTGCCTCACAGGGTAAACAGACTAGTTCTCTTGTATTCCAGAAACAAAGCTGAGGTCTTTAGTGGTCCTTACCTTCTCTGCAGGTCTATCTCCTCTGGTGTAGGGCCATTCTGAACCTGGGGGGCCTGTCGGGGCAATGTGGGGCCTACAGGGGGCATCACACACAGAGAGCTCTCATTAGACATAAAACTGGCATCATCGTCATTTGGATTGACACACAACTCCCTGTGTACTATTTTACTGAGCCAAAAATAGATACACATAAAAAATAATTATGTCATAAATATAGATGTAATAGTGCACTACAAGACACTTAAAGGCTCTAATCAAACTTATTAAAATACAAAGTTGGTGGCGCCATCAGCAGCAGTGAGCTGAATATTATGACTGCCAAACAGATCAGAGATGAAAACAAGCTGCTGCAGATATTTGGCTTTTGCAGTTCTCAAATGAGTTTGTTTTACTCTTTTGATAATTGATTCATTGATGGATTAGTAAATAAAATAAAACAAAATAAAAAAGGTAAATAAAATCATGTAAAAATGATGGACAGGCTAAAAGCTCCCAGAAGTGAAACCACCACAAGTCAATCGCCCCCTGGTGGCTGGTTTCAATACAGGTCATAAATCCCACCTCCTCCATGTTGCTGGATGGGACAGGAGCCAAACTTACAACTTCAAGTACAAATCAGATAAATCTTTCCCAGAGGTCACTTCTGTGGTTCTGGTAGATATTATCATGTAGATGTGTGTACAAGTGGTCATTTTTCTGGTAAGTTTATTTGATTATATAAAAATTGGTATATTTTGGGTGATTTGACAGCTTTGATTGATTGATCTGATGCTGTCATGCCACTGCCAGGCCACTTGGGGTGGCTGTGGCTCAGGAGGTCGTTTCCTAACCGGAGGATTAGCGGTTCGATTGCCGGCTTGTCCAGTCAACGTGTCGAAGTGTCCTTGAGCAAGACACTGTACCCCTAGTTGCTCCCGGTGATGTCACTGGTGTGTGAGTGTTTGGGAGTGCGAATGGGTGAATGGCCAAATAGTGTGAAAGCGCTTTGAGTGTGCTGTAAAGCATAGAAAGGCGCTATACAAATATAAGACCATTTACGAGTTGCTACCCTAAGGGATCTGGTTGCAAAAAAGCATGATGGCAGCTGCTGTATTCACAATATTTTGGCTTCATTTTTGCATAGTGGAAGGAAGTGGTGAAGCCATGTCCACTGTATATACTGTATGTCAACGGTATTAACCTAACAGGTAGCTACATTTGAATAGAGGAAGTAACAAAGATGGCCAAAAGATAAAAGTCAACTAAGTACATATTTTTGTGGAAAGGACCTAGTATAAATTCTGAAACAGTGACAACACATGCTGATGTACCCCTAGTAGCCTTTGGCATGAGATTAAAAGCCACTCAGACATCACTGTCTCATTTACATTTGCTAATGTTTCTGCAAAACCTGAGCAAGGCCAGATGGACCAACATGGTGCTGTTTCTCCCTCTGTGTGCCACACACAGATACACACATACACACACTCCACAGACTTCAGGATTTGGATGTAGCTGAAAAGGAGGCAGACAGAGCTACAACAGTGCAAGGCGCTCACACACACTGCACACATTACCCCCACTTAATGCCATCATTACCTCCACCATAGAGGTACTGTTTTATACAACTCCGTGGAGACTGACCAGAATGGTGTGTGTGTGTGTATGTGTGTGTGTTGGTTAGCAGGATTATGGCTGGATGGATCACCAGCATACTTGGTACACTGTTGGGGACCAACCATAGAAGTGATTAGATTTTGGTTGCAAAAGGACAAAGTCACAAAAAATCAAATCCCCATCTTTAACATGGAGCAAAATTTAAAAAATTCATATCTCTGCCAAAAGTTAGCAAAATCATTACAAATTTGACATGCATATGTAAGATGACAGTGTCTATCACCAGATCTGATCCGGATTCCTGATCTGACAGCCATTTAAAGTTAACATTGAAAACCCCATTTAGTGCCTAATTTATGCCATAACTTGGCCTATAATGAAGATAGAACCCTGAAATGCACAGTATAACTGCCTATCATACCCTCAAAGATCATCCAGATTCGGTGTGGATAAAGGATTTTAGGACACATTTTGTGTTGTTCTGGATCTTATTTTTCACAAGGGACCCATTTGCATGAGCAAATGTTGTGCCTTGGCAGAGGTACATGCACCATGGTTGGTACTGGCATCAACTACATTTCCACACGAGAAGAAAACAGGGTTTACCATGCCTAAATCAAAATAATTAGTGCATTATTACTGCTTTTTCATTATTCAACATGATATCTAAGAGTTCTAAAACCTGAACAACTGAAACCCAAACAAATATTTTGCCAGGGTTTTCAGGCAAGTTAATGCCATTAAATCACCTGACAAGCCAGTGAGTCAGAAAAACCTGATTTCTGGACACATTGACGATACAACCCAATGCAAAAAGATTTATGACAAAGGTGAACACAAACTCACATTAGATAGAAACAAAGACACACAACAAAATCCCAGTGTGCTCTTTCAGTGTGACTAAACCCTGACCATGAAAAGATTTATCTGAAACCACAGAGCCCACAACTACTATACCAGTAGGCTTAGTGGTATCAAATGTTTTCTTCCTGGTATCATATGACAATACTGTAAAAATACTTTATCACACAGTTTATTCATTGGGGTTTGCAGCTAAAATAACTTAGAACTGTGTATTTCTTATATTTCTATTCTATAGATGTAGTATGTGTGTGCTGACTGGAAACCATGCAGTGAGATGGAGAGCTCCCTGACAGCACTCAACAGGTGTCTGTCTTAAGAAGAATACACAAACACACACACAAGCAACCTCCAGCCCTGCAAGGTAGGTGACTCCCCACAAAGATAGTGTGCTCCTACAGATGTAAGCATTCAAAGTGTCACTCTCTGCTGCAATAAGTGGCCACTTTCACTGTGACTGTGTCATTTGTCCCACAGCATGGAATGTGTTACAGTATAATGCCTGTAGGTGACACTCAGCCTACACTAACAGGTACAGCACCCTGTGCATAGACAAACCACAGCCCATAGGCTGCTATATGAATGTCTACTTAGAGGTAAAGAAAAAAAATGCTGTGGTCAGGCTTCGCTTTAGACCGTGATTATATTGTGTGTGGACTTTGATGCTAGTTTAATATTTTGCAGATTTTCCGTTGGAAAAATGAGCTGAACCTCTCTCCTAAAAACTACGCTCGAGTACACCACTAAACTGCAAATGCAGACAAGCTTTGATGGGAAAGTATGTGATTTTTGGATGTGAAACGTACCACTGCAGTTTGTTAAACCACCTCTCCCTTATAGCCTACATCTTACTATAGGTCCCCAAGTCTCCTAAAACATCTCTATGCAACTCTAATTTTAGGGATTACGTTTGATGGGTAATATTTCGATGCAACATCTTTTTGAATGAAGCCCTACATTTTTCTATAGACACAGAATCCAGATGTTACTGTTTGTATAGGACAAAGGATACAAAACAGAACGCTGGCACTTCATGCGTCAGAGTCTGCTTTGTGTTTTGTTTTAACCTGAAGTTAATTTAAGTTTTGCTGTCTCTTAACCAAGACCTGTAAGAATCAACACATAACCACAATAAAACTGCTCAGAGCAACTCTGAGCGAGGAACAAGATACAGCAAACACCACAGTGAAATAATTTATATACATAAAATAGCTCATTTTTAACTTCTACATATATATATATATACACACATATATATTTCATAGATATTTCTAAATATCTATGATGGTTGGTTGATGGTTGGTTGTTCCTTGTTTTTTTTACTTGTAATTCAGTTTTTACCCCCCACTTTTATTTGGTGCATATCGGGCACCACTGAGCTGGAGTCAAATTCCTTGTATTTTAACATACTTGGCAATAAAGGTTATGACTGAATGATTGAAGATACAAAAACCTTTATTGGAGCGAGGAGATAAAGGATGAGGAGATTCATTCTGAAACCTCTTCTACCATAATGTGTATATTTATCAATAGATTCTCTTTTTCCTCCTATTCTTTCCTATTTGATTGCACAGATTTTCCTATTTTGAATGCACACATTCTCATTTTTATTGTATATTTTTCTTGTCGCCTTACAAAACACATTGAGAGCCTCTCTACAAAAGTCAAATTCCTTGCGTGTTTAAACATACTTGGCCAATAAAGCTTATTCTGTTTCCAATTCTGAGGTGTGGCTGACCCACTGCTAGGCTTCTTGATGACTTGGTGGCGACACCAGTTGCTGACAAGTGACACATAACTCTTGGTGTCGGTATGTGTTATCATGCAGTAATCTCCGAGGCTGAGAAATGTGAAAGTGCCAAACCTGCAGTTCCTCGAATGGCCACTTGAGGCTAGCAGCAAAGGGGAGTCGATCCCCATAGACTCCCATGTTAAACTGCCCAGCTTTACAGTTGAAATAAACATGTTTACAGCCTGGTACAAAAAACAGCTTTGGCCTCTGTAGAACTTCCCCTTCCATGACAACTGTACAGGGGTGATTTTTTTAAACTCGCCTATTTAAATTATACTGAGAATAAAATTTACACATTAATTAAGGCCCACACATTGTGACAGCCAGACTTGAGCTTCAAATCCACCCTTCAGAAAACCAATGGGTAAGGTCACAGTGGGTTTGTCCAGTTTTTATATACAGTCAATGGGTGTTACCAGCTTGCAACGTGGAGCCCTTGGTCCTGGGCATTATTTACACCCCTAAACAGAAAAACAAGTGAAAGACTCCATTTTCAAATTTTGTTGCAATTACAAATAAAAAGCGACTCCTAAGGAACGCAAGGACGCTCTGTCGGTGCAACATTTCAGCCAATCAAGTCTTGATGAGCCGGCTCTGTTGAAGGCGGAGCTCAGTGCCAGGTGGCACGATTACTCTGCTGAGAGTTGTTATGTTTAGCTGCTGGTAATTTCAATACTTATTCACTTAATCTGATATTAACAGAGGGAAAACTGCTCAAGAATGGCTTCATGTTCTGATGGTGTGATGATGTGTAGACTGTGTCCATGGACCTGCAAGGTGCGAACAACAGTGGAACATGAAATGTAGTGCATCACAGTATGAGG